CATGTGTACAAGCTTTCATCCTTTTTTTCCCAACAGTCGGTAAATGCTACCAGAAAGAATGTGGAGGACTGGATGATATCATATTATAGTTCTTACGAGAAAAGAGAGATGGAAATGATTTCACTCTGATGGCGAATCTATTGCCAGAATCAAAGAGTAAAGAGAAGAAAATCAGGAAAGTATTTTCAAGTGGGTTGGGCTCCTGGGATGAACAGAGAGCCTGGTTATCCTTTTATCCTGCCTCTACAGATAAACTTACCTGGCTGTGATTCTTGGCATCCATAGAGTCAAAATAAATTGTTGTACACACATGTTGTACATGTTGTACATACATGTTGTTAGAGCTGAGGAGTCAGGCAGTTCCAACTCATATCGATCCTGTATACAACAGAGTGAAATACTACGTGGTCCTGTGCCAGCCTCACAATTGTCCATATGCCTGAGCCCATTGTTGCAGTCACGGTGCCAATCGATCTTGTCGAGGGTCTTCTATACAGCCTGTCTACTTTACTAAGCATGATGTCCTTTTCCAAAGACTCTTCTTTCCCAATAACACGTCCAAAGGTGTGTGTGACAAATTTTCACCGTACCAGCTTCTAAGGATGCTGAGAAGGAGAATTCTCACTGTATTTCTTCTAAAAACAGATTTGTTTCTTCTTTCAATATTCTTCAGAAGCACCAAAATTCCAGTGTATAGATTCTTCTTCTGTCTTTCTATTCAATATTCGACTTTCACATGCATATAGGTGATTGAAAATATTATGGCTTAGATCAGGCACATTAATCATCAAAGTAACATCTCTGGTTTTCAATGCCTTAAAAAAGATCTTGTGCACGAATTTATAAATATCAAGGGTTCAGGAGGGAGGGGCCAGCGGGGAGGGAGGGGGAAAATGAGAAGCTGATATCAAGGGCTCAAGTAGAAAGCAAATGTTTAGAGAATGATGATGGCAACAAATGTACAAATGTTCTTGTCACAATGGATGGATGTATGGATTGTGACAAGAATTGTACAAGCCCCCAATAAAATGCTTAGAAAAAAGTCTTGTGCAGCAGTTTTACCAATTTAATGTGTCACTTGATCTCTTGACTGGTGCTTACATGAGCACTGATTGTGGAATTAAGCAAGATTAAATCCTTGACAATTTCAATCTTTCTTCATTTGTCATGATGGTACCTGTTGGTCTAGTTGTGAGGATTTTTATTTTCTTGACAATGAGTTGTAACCCATACTGAAGGCTACGATCTTTGATCTTCATCAGCCAGTGCTTCAAGTCCTCCTCACTTTCAGCAACAAGATTGTGTTGTCTGCATATTGCAGGTTGTTAATAAGCCTTCTTCCAATCTCATATGTTGGATTATATATATATATAGTCTTTCAGATGAAAAAAAGTCTGTAGGTGGGACATTTAGCATAATTGCAGGACTCACCATGCTTTAAAAATTGAGGTCCCAAGAGTTTTCCATACGTTGGACATGTTGTGAGAAGATAGCAGTCCCTGGAGAAGGGCATCATGTTTACCATGCTTGGTAAAATAGAGGGGCAGTAAGGAGGGGAAAGCCCTCAAGGAGATGGATTGACACCTTGGCTGCAACAATGGCTCCAAGCAGAGAAACCATGGTGAGGTTGGCACGGGGCCAGGCAGTGTTTTTTTGTGCCTAAGGTCACTATGTACCAAGGACCTGGTTTCATGGCATCTAACAACAACAACAACAGGAGTTCTTCATAGAGGTTATTCAAATATCAAAGAAAAAGTGGTGGATAGCGGAGAGTAAGGACTGAGTTGCAATCTTTGCAGTAGGACTTTAGTTCCATAACTGAATAGGGTCCATGATACCGGACTCCCATGATTTCTAGGCCTGAGGTAACATTGTGTATGAAGTTGTCAAATATGAGTGTTGCTTAATATCCATGGTATGCCCTGTGAAATGGAACATTATGTGATTTGGACATGTATGAGTATGATATCACAAGCAGTAACATTCACTGGTTTCCCAGTTTTCTGTTATTTAATAAACTTTATTTCCACATACAAATTGATACTTCTGCTGCTTGTCTTGCTACTGCAATTCTTAGCACCAATTTTGCTGTGTTTGGGAGCCAGGATGCATTTCATGGTAAGCACATTATGACCATTTCTTCTGGACGCACTGTCATAACGGACTGTGTGAATCAAGATTCTCAGCATTCTAACATGATGCTTCTTGAGGCTTAGTGTGCGTGAGCCTCACTGATGTGGTTGGCCAAATTCAAAGACGGCCTTCTGAGAAGTCCATCCTTAATCGCCACAACTGTGAATGTGACAAGATATCATTCCAGAGGTTATGTTTTGTTATGTGGTACAGTTGATCGAAAATCGGAAGATTATCTGGGTGGGCCTGCAATGTTCACCCTAAACCCATTGCCAGTGAACGGACTCCAACTCACACTTCCACAGAGTTTCCAAGGCTGAACTTTTTATTTTTTAAAAAACATTTTATTGAGGGCTCTTTCAGCTCTTGTAGCAATCCATACATCCATTGTATCAAGCACATTTGTACATGCCATTATTATTTTCTAGACATTTACTTTCTATTGAGCCCTTCATGCCAGTTCCTCTTCCTCCCTCCCCTACCCACCCTCATGGCCCCTTGATAAATGATAAATGATTACTATTTTCATTTCCTACACAACCGCTGTCTCCTTTCCCTCATGGTTTCTGTTGTTTGTCCTGCATGTGGGGGTCGGGGTGGGGTGTCGCTGTGCAGTTATCTGTAGATCATTGAGATCAGTTCCCCCTGCCTTCCCTCCTCTCCCTACCTCCTCCCTGCCCTCCTGGTATTGCTACTCCCATTCCTGTTCCTGGGTTTCGGGTGTCGTGAGCTCTTATGGCTTATCTGTACCTGTGCACATACTCCGGTCTAGCCCATAGTGAAAGGCAGTACTAGGGTCCTGGTGGGGCGAGGAAGCCTCAAAGAACCAGAGGAGTATTTGTGTTTCTTCAGTGCTTTATGGCACCCTGACTGGCTCCTCTCTTCCCTGTGATCCCTTTGTGAGGGGATATCCCATTGTCTACAGATGAGCTTTGGGTCTCCTCTGAGCCCCCTTGTTCTCAGCAATATGGTTTGTTTGGGGTCTTCATGATCGCACAGGCTGATGTACTTCTTCCAGGTGGGCTTGTTGCCTCTCTGCTAGATGGCTGCTTGTTTAATTTCAAGCCTTTAAGACCCCTGACGCTGTATCTTTTGATGCCAGGCATCAATCACTTTCTTCACCACATTTGCTTATGCACCCATTTTGTCTTCAGTGATTGTGCAAGGCTGCACTTTTTATGGAAACAGCCTGCTACATCTTTCTTCCACACAGCAGCTGGTGGCTTTGAATTGTTTACCCTCTAGTCAGCAGGTGAGCACTTAGCCAGTGTGCTCCAAGAGCTCTTGATGTGATTACATGGACCCTTAAAAGCAGAGAGCGTCCTGGAGCTGGTGGCAAGTAAGAAGTTAGAGAGATTCGTTGTGTGAGGACTTAATGTGCTGTTGCTGTGTTGAATATGAAAGGGTCCATGTGAGCAGAAATATGGGTGGTCACTGGGAAAGAGGGTGAACAAGTGAGTAAAGAAACAAAGGCCTACAATCACGAGGGAAGGGATTCTGTTAACAACCTCAATGAGCTTGAAGCACAATCTTCCTCAAGTCTTAGGATTGGAATCCAGCACTGCCAATACTTTGATTTCCAACCTGTGAGTCTCTCAGCATGGACTCCAGCTGATCTCCCTGCTGGTCTGGCCTTATTTGACTTTCCATACTGTGAACCAATAAATAGGCTTTGCTTTTAGTTGCCATGTTTTGAGTAATTTGTCCTGTACCAAAAGAAACAAATATACCTGAGGATTCCGCTGGAAGGCTAATCCCGACTCAGCAGATCTGGGGTGGAGTCCTAGTCCTGCATTTCTTCTAACAAGCTCCCACGTGCTCCTGCTGCTGCTCCGGGGACTTAACTTTGTGTATCAAAGCTTGAAAGAGGGCCAAGCATGACAATGACGTCAGTCTTTATTTCCCACCAATAGTAGCTCATTCAGAAAATAATAAATGCCTATTATCAGCTCCCATATTTTTCCTGACAACTTTTACTTTTGGAGAACATTTTCCTGTTTTTACAGGAAGATCTTGTCACGCTTGGACAATTGGCTGGCAAGCTTAACTTGAAGGTGGGCAGTTCGAGCCCACCAACTGGCCTCATGGGTGAGAGACCTAGCCATCTGCTCCAGTAAAGGCTATAGCTTAGACCTCCTACAGGGTAGTCCTCCTTTGTCACATGGGGTCCCTATGAGCTGAAAATTAACTGAATGGGTAGCACCACCAATAAAGAACAACGACCCGATTTTATAAACTCAGCTGTGTCTCCTGAGCAAAATAGGGTGGAAGGGGAAGCATAAGAGCCTTGATTGACTTCTTTGTAAGACAAATTCAGTCTTTCTTTTTCGCTCGTGGAGTCCACTGATGGTAATAAAGGCTAACAAACTTGGTTGCTAACCAAGAGGCTTGGGTCGAACCAGACATTGTATAAGAAAACACTGGGACTCTATGGAAAAAATCATCCAACAGAAACCCCGTGGAGCATCGTCCTGCTCTGGCACCTGAGGGGTCACCTGGAGTCAGACTCGGTGGTTGGCAGTGTTGGGTCTTTGCGTGTTCCTTTCCCGCTCATGGTATGAACTTGGATAAATGATCTAATTCCTGGAGCCTCCGTTTCCCAGCACTAATGGTTTAAGCAAGTCTTTCTCAGAGGAGTTAAAGTAAATAATGGCACATCGATGGTATCTAATAAATGCTCATTTTCAGATTACACTTAGTATCTAATTAGTACATAATGTCACAGTAAAATAAAGGAATCTATGACAGGAAGAGTTTGTTATGGATCCCAATGTTTTAACCTCTTTGGTCACATCTGTGGATAATGTGGTGGTTTCTTCTCCCTGCTTACGAAGTGGGTAAGTTTGACCTCTCACTAGATGGCAGCACTACAAAGGATGGCCCGTGTAGATGTAGTTCAGGGAGAGCAACTGGTCTGACCTGCGCACGTGGGGGCAAGCTAAAAGGGGAGTGCACCAGACCAGGATGGGAGCGAAGCCACCACGTTCCCAAGGAACCCTGATTGTACACTTCTGACTCGGGGGCCGAACTTGAACTGGGTGGGGCTTACTCACAAAGGGGCCACACTGAATGCCTCAGGCACAAATGGGGCTGGGGGAGAGGGTGGGGTTCACAAGATAGCTCCATCGGACTGTGGGAAGAGCAACACGGACCTGTGGGAAGGATGCCTTCTAGACTCACATGCGGCTCTGTGTCATGATCTCTGTTAGTCTGGTGTCTATCTAAATGTCGTTGTTGCTGTTTTGATTTTTAAAAATCTTTTATTGTATTATTACTTTGTTTTGTTTTTTGGCATTGATCTACACAAGAGATATAAGATGGGCAGTCTTATGGAGACAGTGGCCAGACCTGGGGGCTCCTGGGAGAGAAGGGAGGTGAGCAGGGAGAACAAAGACAGGTGCAGGGGAAGAGTTCTCAAATGGACTGTGAGGAGGGGTTAGCTTTTCTGGGCAAGTTTGATCAATCAAACTGTGTCTTAGAGGAGTTACTGAGGGGTTAACAACAGGCAAACATAACAGTGGGGTACAAGGAAACAACAAAAAACAAAACCCAATATATATATATATATATGTTTGTTTATGTATATATATGTATGTAATATATATATATGTTTGTTTATGTATATATATGTATGTAATATATATATGTTTGTTTATGTATATATATGTATGTAAATGGGCCAAAGAAGCAGACGGACTTTGGGTCTCTACTTAAATCTTACCTCTGTTCAATAATGGTTTGTTCTAATAATATGACACTATATAATACACACCTCCCTGCATGATCACTAATGACAAGACAAAATGGGTGCATAAGCAAATGTGGTGAAGAAAGCTAATGAAGCTCGGCTACCAAAATCTATAGCATCTGTTTCTTAAAGGCTTGGAGTTAAACAAGTGGCCATCTAACAGAGAAGCAACACAGCCCACATGGAAGAAGTACACCAGGCTGGGTGATCATGAGGTGTCGACAGCAAGAGGTACCAGAAGTTCAAAAAACACGTATCCAAACTGATATGAAGGAGAGTGGGTGTAGGGGAGACCCAAAACCCACCAAGAAGACAATTGGACAGTCCCTCTTAGAAGGGCCTCAGAATGAAGCCAGGGTGTGGTGTGTCACTGATGAAAAATAAACCTATCTTCTAGCTCTTTAAGATTTCTTCCCCTTACTATTATGGTCAGTATGTGATACGAGGGTGTACCCCTGCCCCCTCTCCAAAAAAACACCAGAAAAATCACCACTGGGCAGAATTTGTATAATATGCATTTTTTTCTTGCTAGACAAGCATCAGTCAACTTGCTCTGAGTTAGTGTACCCAGTGGTGTCACCTGGGAAGGTTCTCTCGGGTCACAGTGAACTTTTTTGTATAAGCAGTTTCATTTGAATTTTTTTCCCCAATCTTCGTTTTTTTTTTTTTCCTTTATGATCAATTTAAGAGAACAGTGGGCAGCTGTGAAATTTTGTTTCCTGCTCAGGAAAAATGTCACAGAGACTTTTGTGATGTTGAACACAGCTCACAAGGACAACACTATGAGGAAAAACTCAAGTGTATGAGTGGTTTTCCTGTTTCAAAAATGGTGAAATATCAATGGATGACAAATCTCATTCTGGATACCCGTCCACTTCCCAAACGGATGAAAATGTCATGCATTTGCGCTTGAAGACCACCAACAGACCATTGAAGAGACGGGGTTGTTATCTGGACTATGTTAGATTTCAGTGGATTTTAATGGAAGAGTTGGGAATGAGAAAGGTCACTGTGAAATGTGTGCCTCGGGTTCTGACTGACCAGGAAAAAGTGTCGAGTGGAAACATGCTGTGCTTTGAAAGATCAGCTCCAACGTGACTCAGACTTTGTTTCCAAGTTCATTACTGGTGAAGAGACACATTCTATTCTTATGATCCCGAAAGCAAATACCAATCAAGCCAGTGGAAGACGCCACCATCACCTCGCCCAAAAGAACCTCAGTGGGTGAGATGAAAGATCAAGATGATGCTCGTTGGTTTTTGTGATGTGAGGGGGATAGTGAATTTGGAGTTCATTCTACCAGGTCAGACTCTCAATCAAGCTTTCTATTTTGAATTTCTGAAAAGATTGTGTAACGGTGTGCGACATAAAAGACCTTATTTGTGGCAGATGTGGCAGTGGTTTTGCCACCACGACAACGGACCTGCTCACAGTCATCTCCGTGCTCCAGTGTTAGGCAAACAACAGCATGCCTCTCTTGCCCCGTGCACCACACTCACCTGACCTTGTTCTATGTGACTTTTGTTTCTGCAAACGAAAGGGACATGAAAGACAGCGATTTGATGACGTAGAAGAGGAGAAGGAAAAAAAATGAAGGAGGTGCTGTCAGCTATCCAAACGAATGAGTTTTTAAAATGTTTCCAAGAATGGAATTGCAGATTTGACAAATATATTACGTATAATGGAGAGCGCGTTGAAGGCGATAAGGTTGTTTTGTTAAAAAATCTAAATACATAGCTTTGAACAAAAATTCCATTGTTCGGGGGTGGGGTGTCCCCCTCATATACCTCATTGATCATGTTAGATTTGCATATGTTCATTTGTACAATTAAGATTGCTCTGTACATTATAGTCCAGATAGATGACCCCTCAGAGACACTACCAGGAGTAAGGGCTCCCTGAGGGTAAGGGAAGTGAGGGGGAGGGGGTGAGTCAGTGGGGGGGAATTGATAACATTGATGATTGTATAGCCCCACCTGATGGGATTGAACAACAGAACTGTTTGGGAAGGGAAGGGATATATTGAAATGAGTAGAATATGTCAACAAAAAATATGTTTTAAAAGAAAAAAGAAGAGGGTGTGTTAGAAGTGAAGATTCTGCACATTTCAATAACAGACTAGGAGATGATTATCCTTGACAGAGCAGCTAACTTGAGGATCATGTTGTAATCATTTTGTAAAGAAAATCTGAAAGCAATTGTTGGGGAGGATGGGCAAGCAGGAAAGAGCAATTTCCTTCATTCTCTCGATGATGGCACTGGTATTTCCCTTTGAAGTCCTTGTTTCTGATGTTTCCATTGGCCTTCCAATGGCTTGTCAACAGCTTTCCCAAATCAAAGAAGCCACAAGTTGGTTGGGCAGTTATGTAAATGCAGGAGAGAGCCACTTCATGGGGGAAAAAATTGGAAGGACAGGCATCACTAAAATAGCAGCAATTGCATGCATCTATAAAGTTCACACACCACATGTAGTGAGTGATTTCACTTTCATTACCTAATGTAATGTGTATACGCAGAATATTGCTATTTCTATTTTTATGAGGCGGCTTCAAAAAGTTCAGAAAGAAGCACTGGTGGTGTAGCGGTTATACTTTTGACTGTGGTCCACATGGTCAGCAGTTCAAAACCACTAGCACTCTTCTGGAGAAAGATAGGACTTTCCACTCCAATAAGCAGTTAGTCTCAGATACTCACAGTGGTTCGCTATGAGCTGGCATCAACTCCATGAGAGTGCATTTGGTTTTCAAAAAGTTAGTGGAAATGGAATGAAAGAATGGGCTTTTCTCATTAACTTTTAAAAACTCCTTGCGTATATAAGGGCATGAACGTACTAAGACTGTGTGTGCATGTGTGCGCATGTGTGCATATGCACACCTGTGGTTATTACATAAT